CTCCCTCCCTATCCCTTTCTCTCCCTTTTTGTTTTTCTCTCTCTCTCTCTCTCTCCCTCCCTCCCTCTCTCTCTCTTTCTCTCTCTCTCTCTCTCTCTCTCTCTCTCTTCCCTATATATATATATATATATATATATATGTATATATATATATATGTATATATATATATATATATCCATGTATTATATAGATATCACCCTCTCAGATCAAGTGGCTTACGCCAGTCCGCCGACCCACAGAAGGAGTCAGAGACGACCGTGGCAGTTCTGTAGTGGCATTCGGCCCAACCCGCCACCGTGCCTGGGCTGCGGACCAGTAGCCTCTTGGATGAGTATGAGGGTCTCTTGAGATGCCTCTCGGGGGCTCTTGGAGGGCTCTTGGGTGCATCTGGGATGGGTCTGGGGGGACCTCGTGGGGGCCTCTTGGGGGCTTCTTGGGGGCATCTTGGAGGCCCCTTGGGGCCTCAGAGGGGTGCCTCGGGGGCCTCTGGGAGGCCCTTGGAGCCATCTTGGGGGAAAAGGCTCGTATTCCCCCTTTTGGGCTCTCTTTGGGCCTCCTAGGGTCTGTCTTGGGCCGTCTTGGAGGCCCTCTGGGGCCGTCTCAGGGCCCTCATCGGCCGTCTTGAGACGATCTTGGGGGTCCCTTGGGCAGTATTAGAAGCTGTCGAGACGAAAATGGCGAGCGTGCTGAAAATGCACGTTTCCCGAAGAGAACGGGACGTTCGCTGCCTCTCGGGACATTATCGGCTGTCTTCTGGGAATCTTTTTGGACCGTGTTCAAGGCCTTGTGAGCCGTCTTGAAGTAATTTGGGGTCCATACTCTGGGCCGTTTCGGCGCTCTCTTCGACTGTCTTGTCGCTCTGCCTGGGCCCTCTTGGGGCTTTCCGGAGGCTCCGGAGGCCCCGAGGGCGCGTTGACGAGCTCGCACCCCGCCCCCACCCCTCAGACGGAACCGTGATACGCCTATTCACCCCCGGCAAACGGGGGTCCCGCGACCCCCGGCAAGCGGGGGTCGCGGGATTGTCCTCGAGGACCACGCGGCCAAAGGCTTCAAGCAGCTCCTCAGTGGCCTCGTGACCCCCATGTACAACGCCCACATGCCTGAGTCCCAGCATGGGGCTGTTGCTGGCCGCGGTACCGACCTCGCTGCACACCTCGTCCGGTCTTTCTGCGACTACTGCACCACCAAGGGGCTCTCATGCTTCGTCTGGTTCGTGGACCTTGTCAAGGCGTTTGACCGGGTCGTGCGCGAGATCGTTCTGGGCTGGCCCCATGCCGCCACAGACCCAGAACAATATCTACGAGACCTTGGTCTCAGCGATCATCAGGCCCAGTGGATTGCTACTTGGGTTGCTCGCCATGGATGCCTGTTCGAGCAGTGGGGCGTGTCGC